AATGCTCACTGACGTGCGGTGTAAATCAGAGACGGACATTGTATTTGAGGATACAGGAAAAACGTTGGAATTGAGTAGGCTACATATATTATATATATTATGTAGCAAGTTACGCTGCTAGAGTTTAGGCTACTAGAAGACCAAGTTAATAAACGTGTTATAGGCCAAGAAAAGATACGTAGGCCTACATATAAAAAAGAGAGGGAAAAGTACGTGATAAGCATACTATAGGAGGCAAGCATGATGCCATCGAGATATCAAATATTTACATGTATAGTGTAGATTTTGATTATATACTCAACTGAATCTAATTTATGATGATATTCTACTCATCAGGACTACTCGATCCATTTAAATGAGAAGAGCTTTTTAATATTGAGATTGGTCTGTCACATAGGTTCCTCCACTTCCCACCCCACCCACTCTTTTCCCCAATCAGGACACATATATAGGCCTATAATATGCAACTTCTGCTAGGTCTAAGTTCTAAACTTTGGCATGCGTTTCTATTTTTAGCTAGAGAAAATTTACAAAATATAGTCTAAATGCGACATTCATTTACAGTAGAGTACACACACTGCTCAATGCACGAAGCCAAGGCTGTGGGTTTTTGTCTTATATAAGCCTCGGCTCTTCAGCGTGGATCTAGATCTAGATCTTAGCCTTAGCTAAAAAATAGCCTTCTTTTGATGCAGATTCCCAGAGGAAAATTGAAAAAAAAATAGTTGATTACTTGAGTCAAAAATACATGTAGATCTATTGCCATTTTAGTTTAACAATGGTAGAGATTTTATTAAGTTTTCTAATTTTCCCTTGGGTCAACGTAGGTAATTTTGGAACAGTTGTTTTGTCGTTGGTGTCACTAGTCAGGATCTAACCTTTCGTACTTCCCCTTTGACTTCAAGGGGGATTCCAGGGTCACGGGAAAGATCTATTTTCAGTTGTGGACTTTATGACCTTAGTAGGGGGATCTGGCTTTACTTGATGTGTAATTACGATGTTGATTACCTTGATATCTTGGTATCGTTAACCACGATAAAATAAGAATTAATAGACCAACCAGAAAATTACAAATACCATCGAACTTCAGACAAACGTTTACACCATACAGATTAGTACTTCTTTTTCAAAGCTATCACCCCTATTTTCATATGGGCTAGACGAAGGAATATCCACTCGGGAAGGTTACGATACTGTCGTCACTACGCAAAATGGCGGTAGATTCAGCCTTGCGGTAGATATGTAACTAGTAAATACTTAAAATTGGCGTGTTAGTGGCCAAAAAAAATGTTCTCATTATCGACAGACGTTAAAAGAATACAACTGAAACCATGTGAACCAACTAAAGTAGATAAAAAAGTGAAAAAGAGACCCAAAACACACAGGTTTGTGCTTTCACTTGGAGAGTCTAACTCTAAAACATGTCCAGAATATTCATTTGCGGACCTTGTAAAAAATGAACGGGTAAGTCAACTTCAAAAACATTTTGTGTCATATTTTTTATATAAATATCTTCATTACTAACTGTTCTTGTGCACCATGTATTGCAATAATGTTTTCAATATCTAATTATCTTTATTTCCTTGGGGAACCCCTTTTCATGTCCCACCACATGTCACTGAAATGCCTTTATCCAAAGCCTTCTCAGCATTATTCCGAGGTTTGCTCGAATGTGGCAGTGCAACTCCAGTCTCAACAGCTCGTCTCAACCGTAGCATAGAAAATGGCCAGACCACTTCGCCATTTTGAACCTTGCCATCCCTTAGTGTATCAAAACTGAAACATTGATTCTAATTTACCATTTTTCTATTGTTTATGTAAGAACTAATGTCAACCATAAAAATTCATGCTTTTGTCGCCAACATTTGTCACCCTGGTTTCATATCCATATTACTCCCAAGTTGTAGACAAACTTATCAAATAGTTTGTTTTTATTTATTACTCCTCTTCCTCCCTTCCTCCTTCCCTCTTGCCTTCCTCTTTCATTGGTAGCCGTGTGCCACCATGATCACACACATATAATCTACACACTTTTGACACAACACACTTCACGTGGTTGGGGTTTGTGTTATGTGACCCAGGCTAGGATAATTTAGTAGGGCATGCAGGCTTAGCAGTCTCCATGCACAGAACACATAAACCAATAGATGACCAAGACCTAGATCTAGATTCTAGATCTGGCCTGGCCTATCTGTTGATTGCTTACGAGTTTGATGATTGTTTCTTTGAAAGTTTAAGTGTCTTGCATTAAATCGCCCAACGTTATCAGTTGCTATAGCAACTTAATCAGTCGACAAAACTGATGTGCTTTGCTTTATGCTCCATATAATAACGTGATCGGCAACTGTATTGTTTTGTTTTTGTTATTGGAGTTGCGCATGTCTTGGGGTGTGGTTTCTTCTGCTTGTCTTCTTTGTGTACATGTGGCCTGGAATATATATTTCTTGTTTATCATATTGTTAAAGCCATTGATTGATAACTGAAAGTTATTTTTAAAAATTATCTGGTTGATTTTGGACTCAAGTCAAAGTGCTGATCTCGGAAAATAAAGTGCAAGAAACACTTCTAACGCGTGCATAAAAAAGTGCGCGCGCAGTTGTAAACGTGCGTTTTAGGCTATATTTGCTTGTTTTTACATTTCTGCGTTTGTATGTATTATAATGTAAATTAAAGTTAATTTTCAGTGATTTAAAAGCATCTTGGATTTGGGGTAAGGGGAGGTCAAGTTTTCGGGGGTGGGGGTCATCATGTGGGGTCTAAGTAGGTCACGGGCTATTTTTAGAAACCGATTGCGGGAGTCATCAGATAAGGGGGGCGGGCTTTGTATTGTAAAGCGTGTGATTCGCAGGTAGACGCGTCTCGCGCAGCCCGCGTGCGCGGGGGGATGGGGTTCGAGGCCCGCACGCGCGTCGATTATCGTGCGGCTGAGCACATCGATTTATCGGGGGGATTGATTTTTGTCCGCGTTCGGACTCGTCGGTGCAGATGAAGTCGGCGGAGCTGCCGTCGCCATTTCTCCTCGTCCGTGGCGTTTCGCGAGGAGGCAAGCTGGCTCGCCATTTTCCCTACCGGCTGGCGACTCGCTTCGCGCTTGGTGCCGTGAGGCGGTGTTCTGTTGGCTTGGCCTGGCCTGGCCTAGGTTTCGTCTGCTGTCGCTTCGCCTTTCTAGGGCAACGGGGAATCGTAGATTTTGGGACGTGCCGGCGCTGCGGTCATAGTCATAGGCAAATCTATTGAGGTTATTTTCTTGCTCTGTATTGTGAGCTCGTTCTTCAGAAATATGGGAGCAGATTCTAGATCTAGATTCTATATCTAGATCTAACTGGTTTACATTGGAATTGATTTTAAAATTTTATAGCGGCGTCTTTAAATTTAAACCTTCATTGATTTAGTCACTAGATTCTAGGCTCCCATTTCTACTACTACTGTTACAGAAGAATTTAATCCGATTTTGAGAAAAAAGCAAAATGTCTATAGAGTCTAGATAGGCCAAGTCTTTAGGCTAGGCCGACTACTGTCTTCTTCTTGTTCTGCTTCTTCTTCTCCTTCTCCTCCTCCTCCTCTCCCTCTCCTGCTCCTAGATCTAGATCTAGTCGTTATATAGATGTGCGAGTTTAGAACATTTTTTATCAGCCTGTTCTTTATATTAGGATCGTTTGTCTATCCCGTGTGTGTGTATAGATCTTCTGAAAGTACCCTGTAGATATCTAGATCTGAGTCTTGGCATATAGGCGTATTACATGCAGGTGATAAATGCAATTCTCTTCAATCTTCAACAAAGAACACCCCCCCCCTCCCCCCCCGCCAGTCTCGGAATGTTTTCCTAGACCTTGGTACTGTTTTTCTTTTGGACTGTCATGGGCTGCTCATACTTAAATGATGGCTCAGGTGCTTTTTAAATAGGTGGGCCTATTATTTTTGTCTGTTATGCAACCTATCTACCAGATTCGAATCTAGAATAGATCTAATTTATAAAAGCTTAGCCTACCTGTAAAAGAATTTTTAAAAAAACAAGTCTATTTGTATTAGTATTAACTATCAAGGAAAGTTCACTTTTCTTCTTAATTTTCCAGATTTAAAGAAAAGGTTATTCTTTAAAAGAAAGTACCTGTACCCCTCAGCCTACAATAACATCAGCAACTACAAAAAAAGGATGGTTTCAGGGTCTCGGTGTTTCAATATTTTTGTTTGTATTAAATTTAAATGGAAGTTAAAAAAATTATTGGTTAAAATACTCCCGAACTCCAGGTGTTCTGAAGCGATGGAGGCAATAGGCTACATATATTTTAGTTATATTATAGCGGCTTAATAATGAATTTCTCCCTGCGAGATGAATATATATATAAAGATTGTCGTTTGTCATATTTGCATAAATTTGTAATTGTAGGCTACTTGAAAGTCTGTCTAGTCAGATATTCTTCTTGTATAAGTGTCACTGGGAATGTGAAGACTTGGATTATGTATTTATGTATGTATGTTTGCCATTGTAAAACAAAGTGCCCTTCTGGGACAAATAAAAGTGTAATTTATTTATTTATTTATTTTTAAAATTTTATTTGGATGGGCATGAAAATTATATATATGATTTTCTGTAGGCCTACTTGGAGTGTGTTGTGCATTAGTCTTCACTCGGTGTTGTTGCAAAGTATTTTGTCTACTGATAGTTGTTAGACTGGAATTTTGTACATATATATATATATATATATATATATATATATATATATATATATATATATATATATGGATAGAAGAGTTTTGTGGCAGATAGTTGGAGGGCACCACTGAAGTCCTACTTCTTTACTTTCTGTTATAGTTGTTTCTGAATATTCTGATTTATCTATTATTATTTTCTGTCTGTCTGACCTTTTCTGAGCAATGAATTAAATGACCATTATTCTGGTGGTGTTCTTCTCTTTAACTGAAACAGACCATTATTCTGGTGGTGTTCTTCTCTTTAACTCAAACAGACCATTATTCTGGGGGTGTTCTTCTCTTTAACTCAAACAGACCATTATTCTGGTGGTGTTCTTCTCTTTAACTCAAACAGACCATTATTCTGGTGGTGTTCTTTTCTTTACTCAAACGGACAAGCAAAAATATCTTTGAGGAAACTATTTGTTTAAAAAAGATTGAAATGGTTGTTTCGGTATAACTGCGGAAAAAAAATGTCATACTCATCATGACTTCGACTTCCCCTAGTAAAATCTAAGTTTGGTGTCTACATATATATATATATATAGATTCTAGGTCTAGTTTGTCAACAAAATGTTTTGCTTCAATTGATTTACTTGTGTTCTGAACAAAATGGATTATGATTTTACTTGAATTTAGATGATTGAAATGGGCAGCTCGGGTGTCTGATAGTTAATACAGTCTATGTTTGTTTAATGGATGGTTTGAGGTAGCTGCTCTTTGGACTGTGGTTATTTTTTATTTTTCACTCCCCCCCCCCCCTCTCTCTCTCTCTCTCTCTCTCTCTCTCTTTCTTTCTCTCTCCCCCCTCTCTCTACTGACTGAAGTGTCTTTAGGCAAGCAATTTCCAAAGGGGGGACATTAATATATGTTCTTAGGCACAGTAGAATTGTATATGGGCTGATTCAACAATGTCATGCTCATAGCTGTGCCTGAACTGCAACATGTTAACATGGAACTGCTGCTTTTTTTTTTCCTAATCCTTACTATCGTCATTTTTCCTGTACTTCTTTTGTATGTTTGTCACGCTCTTGTGACCCGCTCTTTCCGGCGTGCCTTGATAGTAGAAGCAGAGGTTGTGCTGTTGAAGCTAGAGAGGTGAGCAGAGTAAGCCTGATTCCCTATATGGACTTCTCTGTTGACATCCACCCCTTAGCACTCATATGACCTTTTTTATGCAGTTGCGAGCACCGTAAAACCTTTACTAATTTAACTTTAAAAAAATAGTAAAGTTCTGTCCTTCCACAAAGCATTCATCAAGTTTTGTTTGATGAGAGAGAGAGAAAGTTATTTCTGCTTGTCTTCCTTATTTTCAATTTGAACCCATTGCATATTTTGTTTTTTGACTTAACCCCCCCGCCAGTCTCGGAATGTTTTCCTAGACCTTGGTACTGTTTTTCTTTTGGACTGTCATGGGCTGCTCATACTTAAATGATGGCTCAGGTGCTTTTTAAATAGGTGGGCCTATTATTTTTGTCTGTTATGCAACCTATCTACCAGATTCGAATCTAGAATAGATCTAATTTATAAAAGCTTAGCCTACCTGTAAAAGAATTTTTAAAAAAACAAGTCTATTTGTATTAGTATTAACTATCAAGGAAAGTTCACTTTTCTTCTTAATTTTCCAGATTTAAAGAAAAGGTTATTCTTTAAAAGAAAGTACCTGTACCCCTCAGCCTACAATAACATCAGCAACTACAAAAAAAGGATGGTTTCAGGGTCTCGGTGTTTCAATATTTTTGTTTGTATTAAATTTAAATGGAAGTTAAAAAAATTATTGGTTAAAATACTCCCGAACTCCAGGTGTTCTGAAGCGATGGAGGCAATAGGCTACATATATTTTAGTTATATTATAGCGGCTTAATAATGAATTTCTCCCTGCGAGATGAATATATATATAAAGATTGTCGTTTGTCATATTTGCATAAATTTGTAATTGTAGGCTACTTGAAAGTCTGTCTAGTCAGATATTCTTCTTGTATAAGTGTCACTGGGAATGTGAAGACTTGGATTATGTATTTATGTATGTATGTTTGCCATTGTAAAACAAAGTGCCCTTCTGGGACAAATAAAAGTGTAATTTATTTATTTATTTATTTTTAAAATTTTATTTGGATGGGCATGAAAATTATATATATGATTTTCTGTAGGCCTACTTGGAGTGTGTTGTGCATTAGTCTTCACTCGGTGTTGTTGCAAAGTATTTTGTCTACTGATAGTTGTTAGACTGGAATTTTGTACATATATATATATATATATATATATATATATATATATATATATATATATATATATATATATATAAGAGTTTTGTGGCAGATAGTTGGAGGGCACCACTGAAGTCCTACTTCTTTACTTTCTGTTATAGTTGTTTCTGAATATTCTGATTTATCTATTATTATTTTCTGTCTGTCTGACCTTTTCTGAGCAATGAATTAAATGACCATTATTCTGGTGGTGTTCTTCTCTTTAACTGAAACAGACCATTATTCTGGTGGTGTTCTTCTCTTTAACTCAAACAGACCATTATTCTGGGGGTGTTCTTCTCTTTAACTCAAACAGACCATTATTCTGGTGGTGTTCTTCTCTTTAACTCAAACAGACCATTATTCTGGTGGTGTTCTTTTCTTTACTCAAACGGACAAGCAAAAATATCTTTGAGGAAACTATTTGTTTAAAAAAGATTGAAATGGTTGTTTCGGTATAACTGCGGAAAAAAAATGTCATACTCATCATGACTTCGACTTCCCCTAGTAAAATCTAAGTTTGGTGTCTACATATATATATATATATAGATTCTAGGTCTAGTTTGTCAACAAAATGTTTTGCTTCAATTGATTTACTTGTGTTCTGAACAAAATGGATTATGATTTTACTTGAATTTAGATGATTGAAATGGGCAGCTCGGGTGTCTGATAGTTAATACAGTCTATGTTTGTTTAATGGATGGTTTGAGGTAGCTGCTCTTTGGACTGTGGTTATTTTTTATTTTTCACTCCCCCCCCCCCCTCTCTCTACTGACTGAAGTGTCTTTAGGCAAGCAATTTCCAAAGGGGGGACATTAATATATGTTCTTAGGCACAGTAGAATTGTATATGGGCTGATTCAACAATGTCATGCTCATAGCTGTGCCTGAACTGCAACATGTTAACATGGAACTGCTGCTTTTTTTTTTCCTAATCCTTACTATCGTCATTTTTCCTGTACTTCTTTTGTATGTTTGTCACGCTCTTGTGACCCGCTCTTTCCGGCGTGCCTTGATAGTAGAAGCAGAGGTTGTGCTGTTGAAGCTAGAGAGGTGAGCAGAGTAAGCCTGATTCCCTATATGGACTTCTCTGTTGACATCCACCCCTTAGCACTCATATGACCTTTTTTATGCAGTTGCGAGCACCGTAAAACCTTTACTAATTTAACTTTAAAAAAATAGTAAAGTTCTGTCCTTCCACAAAGCATTCATCAAGTTTTGTTTGATGAGAGAGAGAGAAAGTTATTTCTGCTTGTCTTCCTTATTTTCAATTTGAACCCATTGCATATTTTGTTTTTTGACTTAATTGTAATATATATATTATAATATATATATATATATATATATATTATATTATATATTATATATATTATTAATATATTTTCAACAAATCTGATACTTTTTGTTTTATATTTTGAATTTAGTTGTCATTTTGGATTCCAACTTTTCTTTTTTTTGTGAGCGGGTGTTAACTTTAACAATGGTCAACACAAGAAGTTACTAAGTGAATATATAAAGCCTAGTTTCACAAAGAATGTAATTCTTTTATGGTGATGTAAGTATATAAGGCTTTCAGCTCTCAAGGAAGGATGGGAGGAGGTGGAAGGAATAAAAGAGAACGAGGTCATTTGCCAAGGGAAGGGCTATTATTACTTGACACAGTTTTCTTTCCTTGTAATATATTATAATATATATCTCTTCTAGATCTGTCTTCTGCATCTACTCAGTTAAAGTAAAATCAGTTGGCATTGTCTGGAAAAGCCATGGGCTTTGTATTGTCTTTTAGAAGAGAAACAGTGATACTTCTTCTTTGTAGGGAGGGACCCACATACATAGAACCCCTTACATCTCTGTTTTTTAATATAAGTGTATAATCCATGTTGAGTGGTGCCATATTAAATTTTATGAACTTGTTTCGACATTTTGCTGGAATCGAAGTTGGTGTACAAGTAGTACAGTAGCTTGAATGACAATGTTTGTTCTTGAACCAGTTTCTGAGTTTTATATTACCAGTACCAGCAGGCATATTTTGTCATAAAACTTGAAGATATTCATGATGTTGTTTTATTTATTGAATTCATTTTTTAGCTGCATTTTGATGACATTTGTAATATATTTGTCCTCAGCAGAAAAGTAGTCAATCGTCAGATCCATTTGGAGACCAAGATGAGGAGTTGGAAGTGGCCTCCATTGCTCAAAGATTTGAAGCGAAATATGTGAGTTTTTCTGTAGAGTGTTAACGGCAGGGGAATTAATGTTAAAGTAGGCTACTGCAGGTTAAGTTGATCATGAGAATAAGAGCGACAATAGAACATTATGATAAGTACCGACGTCTGTGTTTATTAGATGCTTCGCCATCACACTTAGGTGACATGACTTCAATTTTCGTTTTGGCAGAACTTTATTATTCGAGTATCTGTGTCTTGTGGGATGTTGTATTCAATTCCTTTCAAACTGGGTGGGCCCTGACAGATAGGGGCAGTGCCACTGACTGTAGTGTCTTTAGGCCATTCCCAAAGGGGGGACATTTCTCGTTCTAGCACAGTAAAATTGTAAATGGGCTGATTCATGTCACGCTCATAACTGTGCCTCATGTACAACAGGGAACTGCTGCTTTTTCTTTCTTAATCCTTACTATTGTCATTTTTTTCCTCTACTTCGTTTGTGTATTTGTCACTCCCTTGTGACTTGCTATTTCCGGGGTGCCTTGATAGTCGAAGCAGACCTTGTGCTGTTGAAGCTAGAGAGGTGAGCAGAAAAAGTCTGATTCCCTGTAAAGACTTCTCTATTGACACCCACCCCTTGGCGCTCATATGACCTCATGCAGTTGCGAGCGCTGTAAAACCCTCTACTATAAAAAAAAAGGTTAAGTTGATCATGAGAATAAGAGTGACAATAGAACATTATGATAAGTACCGACGTTTGTGTTTAGATGCTTCACCTTCGCACTTAGATGACATGAAAAATGAGTTCGATTTTCGTTTGGGCAGAACTTTATTTGTTTGAGTATCTGTGTCTTGTGGGATGTTGTATTCAATTCCTTTCAACCTGGGTTTGCCCCTGACAGAGAGGGTCAAAATGTCTCTTACTTGAGCTAATAAATGTTGACAGGGATGTAAAACTTCTGGTCTACAATTACGTTTTTATTATTATTATGTGCAGGAAGAAGTGTGTCTCCAGTATAATATTATTCATATATATATATATGTTGATAAACTGAACCGAAAGATTATGCTGTGCAACAGAATATGACCCCTTGGAGAATGAGAGGGTGGGAGGTTGATTGTTATACCACAAGCGTTTTAATTAATCATTAAAAATTTGTACTCCTTGTTTTGAGCCTCTCAATTCATCTCCTTCTAAGAAAATATAGAATGCTTATTAAATCACAATGCTGTGTTCATTTTTATTAGAGACTGAAAATAATTTGGGGAATATAATTGACGCAGAGGTGTTTTTAAAAGTACAGTGAATAAACTGACCTGTTTTTAATTCTTTATATTCTATGTGTGTGTGGTTGTCGAGCTGAATAAATTTTAGGCAATTCTGATTTGTGTACTGTAAAAAGTGATGCTAAGATGTCCACCTGTCTAAGACAACCACTCCCCCCCCCCCTCGACTATGGTTGGGGAGGTCTTTCCACTGTATGTATCTAAATGTAACTAAAATTCTTTTTGAAAATGTGGGGTTTTTTTTTCCTAGGGCTCAAAAGCAATGCAGTCTGGGAAAAGGAAGAGGACGACTGACATGGATGACTACTTCGACCTCGGAGATGGTTACGACACAGACGACCCTTTCATTGACAACTCTGAAGCGGTGAGAAAGTTTAAAAGTTAAAGTGATTAATTTAATCTTGAGGTAATTTGTCTCTTTAGTAGAAAAAGTGCAGAGCTTCGGAATACCTCCCTTGGCTGGCTAGTTCATTGCGATATATTTATATGCTGTTTTAGTCCTAAGGGGACATGCATTGTGACTTGTGTTTGTTGTAGTCTATTGCTCAATTGTTCATAGTTCCATGCACTTACTCTCATTTGCAGCTGTGTGGATGGAGGGAAATAGGGCAATGTGGCTTTCCTCATATAACATTTTGTGTAGTGAAGCTGGGAGTGATCCTCCTGCAACTTTTGAATTGCGATGTTTTTCCTAGCAGGTAGACTACAACTTGCGAGTGGCTGGTGGGTGTTCTTGAGTGGTTTGCTCTTTCTTTCCTATCAAACATCTATCGTCCTTATCTCTCCTTCTTTTTGTGTGTGTTTGTTACTCTCTTGTAACACCGCTAGTCTTCGGCACTAATATAACTTAATGTGCTTCAAGCGCAGTAAAACTCTTAGTAAAACTAAAACTCTGGCTCTCTGGTCTTGTTTTTACAGTGGAGAATGTGATTGTGATGATAGATTGATGAGGACCTGATGGAATTGTGGGTTTGAAGTTTGGGGTGTTGCTGTATATCATGTGGCCAGACGTTTGTAAATTACCGTAATTACGTGTCACACTGCGGTGGAATCAGGGGCGCGCCAATTTTTGGGCATGTGGAGTTATTGATATCATCTGAATACTTATTCATTTGCCTTGCTTTCAATGAAAAAAAATACACATCTATCTCAAGTAGAAGTCCAGGTGATTGCTATTGAAAGAGCTGGGGTCACCAGGTTTCAGTGGTAAAATTAACAAGAAAATGGCTGCCTAAGTTTGGTAACTTCAGTAGATCGAGAGTCTTTGAAAACTTAAAAATTACAATTTTTGTCCTTTAACACTTTATCATCACAAGGCTTATATATATATATATATATATAGTAAAAACCCTCGCCATCACAAGGCTTATATATATATATATATATAGTAAAAACCCTCACCATCACAAGGCTTATATATATATATATATATAGTAAAAACCCTCACCATCACAAGGCTTATATATATATATATATATATAGTAAAAACCCTCACCATCACAAGGCTTATATATATATATATATAGTAAAAACCCTCGCCATCACAAGGCTTATATATATATATATATATATAGTAAAAACCCTCGCCATCACAAGGCTTATATATATATATATATATATAGTAAAAACCCTCGCCATCAAAGGCAAAGGCATTTTGGGGAAAATCCAAAGAAACTGGGTGGTAAACATCGCTGGTTGGCAAGATGTGATGAGAAAGTGTTAACCCACGTTTTTCAGTAACATTCGCATGGAAATGTGTTTTTCTATGAACAGAAAAGGTGTTGAGCCAAAAAACAAAAATTCGGTAAAAATTGCCAAACTGACCGAAAAATGCCTGTTTCTTCAATTTCATTATTTTGACAGCGCCTGATTTCCCCTTGGTGCCTCACATATTACTTCTTGAAAGAAAAATAAATGGTCCTTTCTCTTTTGTTCAGTACGATGAAGTGGTGCCATCCACCCTGACGACGCAGTACGGAGGTTTCTACATCAACATGGGCAAGCTGGACTTCAAGTCGGTCTTTGATGACTCCTTAGATAAAGATGATTTCGCCAGCCCACAGGGGATGAAAAAGAAGAAGAAAAAAGTAAGCTTGATGGGAACTGTGTATATACTGTGTTTTGACAGCTCGGCAAGATGTTCGATACATTATTATATATGTTCAAGTTGTGGTCTCATTTTTCTTCTTGTTTTCTTTTTAAGTTTTTATCATTCAAATCTGGTTGATGATGTAGGCCAGACAACTGACCTGAATTTCGTGAATTTAGCTATCGGAAATTTGAATGGGTGGGTGATTGGCGGGTGCTGTGGTGTAGTTAGCTCCTTCTTTCTTAGCAAACATCTGTCGCCCTTGTCTGTCTCCCTTGGTAAGAGTGTAGCTGTTACAGTGCTGATTGCTGATTTTCCGTGGTCATTAAATACTGCTCGCAAGCGATAATTCTTATAAACATGGTTTCGTGTAAAATCTTTTTCTTATTTGTTGGAATTACTTTTTTTCTGTTTGAGAAAATATTGTTGGAATTGGTTTTTTCCATTCTGGGAAATGTTGCTGGAATGACTGTGTTGTGAGAACTATTTTTACGTTGGAGGTCAGTCTTGGTACTGGTGAATGATTTATCTTTTCGTTCACGTGCATTGTGTAACAAGTTGCTTGACTTTTTTCCCAGCAACCTTTGGATTCTGAGAGTGAAGAGGAAACTGGGGAGACGATCGCCAAAAAGTTCAAAGCCATGAAGGTATGTTAATAAAGCACTGTGTGTGTCTTGAATTTAGTATGTGGAATTACTTCTCTGTGGAGCCACGATCCAGACCTAAAGTAATTTTTTAACCAATAAGTGCATAAGAGAAAAGAGAAATGGAATATTGTGTGTAGTTTAAACTGTGTGATGCTTCTATGGGGAAACCATTTTCTGAGGCTTACTTTACTTTTATCCGCCGGTTATACCCTTTTGTCAGGCATTGTGGTGAAATCGGGGGCTCGTCAATATAATGAAATCGGGGGCTCGTCAATATAATGAAATCGGGGGCTCGTCAATATAATGAA